AGAAAGAAATCTAAATGAAATAATTAAATATTTACTTAAAAAATCAGGTATAAATTCGCCATATATCGTAAGGAAACAATCACTGAAAAGAAAAAAAAAGATTTAGCAAATTTTAATTAGCTCTCGTTTTATTTATGACAACTGGCTATGCGTTGCCATCTTTTTGGAGACAAATCATATTTAAATACTAAAAATAAAACGGAAAAAAAAAGTGTGAATTTCGGCGTTTTAAAAGAAACAACTCCATAAAGGAAACTAACCTTCTGGCTTCTGGCTCACAAAGTTTCTTCAGGAAATACCTGTGGAGAACGACAGTTTAGCAAATACCACACAACACTTAATTGAAACTTGGAGTTGTGCAATGCACTAACGTTGGATCATTAAAATAACTCGATCGCATGTTCGTTTAAAGGTGACTAGTGAGGAGTTTAAACAGAAGCCAAACAATGTAAATATGGTAATTTTGTTGTTGTCTACTTTAAATGTCACGAGCTCTACTTTGTCGCCCAGTCGACATATGCAAAGAACGGAGAGTTGTTTGGAGTTATTTTAAATATCTATAAATATATATATTTCCCTGCAGGAACCAAAGCGTGAAAAAAAAAATGCAATTTAAAAAAGAAAAGAGGAAAAAAAAAGGAAAATATTTAAAATTCTATATCAGTTTACAAAGGATACGGTGTTCTATCGTTAAGGTAATTTGTTGTTGAGAATATCTGAATGTATATTTCATACAGGAACGGTGTTTTACAAGACTTGTAAATAATAAAAAAAGAACCCATGACCTATTTTGTTTGAATGCTTTTTTTTTTCCCCCCTGTTTTTTTGTTCCTTTGGGGCTAAAGGGTGTGGGATTTTTTTACATGTGCAACAAAGTGGTGATAAGAATGTTTTTTGATTAATAAATTTACCAAATGGATGTAAGTTCTTTGACACGCTTCACAAAATGCAATATCTTTATATGACATCACTGTTTTCAATATGTATCATCTATATGTATATACAGTTTTCTTTTAATATGCGAAAGTATTTGGTTGCATGTATACAGTGGAAGAGCGCACAAGGAAAATAAAAAAATGGAAACTTTATATTTTTACTTTGGTGGTACGTTACTGCATGTTCTTTTATCCGAGGTAACTCTGGGACCCGAAATTCCTCATGACCTTGTTCAGTCATTTGGGGGGAATTATTCTTCTTTTGTGAACTTCGCCGTTAAATCTTCTGCTCTGGAGTTAACAAGTGAACCTAAGCTTGTTCAAGCAGCGTTTCAGCGGGTCACAGGAAAAGGAAAATGAAGTATGTTCGTAGCTCGCTGCCTGTTAGGCCTTTTCCTTATCCTGCCAACGCCGACAGGGCAAGGTCCTATGCTCGAGGGTTTGATGTGACATTGCTGTTTGCTCCCCACCATATGTGTCCAGGAGAACCGCTCGGGAAACGTTTGCGGCGTCGGTAGCGTTTGGGGCAGATTTTATAAGCCCGGCACCAAAGGGCAGGTCCAGGCCAGCCGACAGATGTGGCCAGAAGCGTGAGAGCCCTAAGAAAACTGTTGTCCTTGAAAAAAAAAAGAAAATTTAGAAAAATCCGCATGGCAGTGGGTTGGAAATGGATGGTTTGAAATTGTGCTTGATCTCCAAGGCGGGGAGAGGGTGGACTGAGGCG